CGGAGACTGTAGTGTACACCGTAAGTTTTTACATTTTTGCTTAAATGTGTAATATGAATAAACAGTGCTCATAAACAGCTGTTGAGATGGTATTCTTAAGTGAAACGAGTTGAGGCTTGGACCCGGAAACAGCATTTCTTACGTCACGACTTAACAAGCGGATATCCAGCAAAGTAAACCAAAAGATTGAAGGGTGATTCTCAAAAATCTGTATTTTCTGCAGGCTTTTTTCAAGATAAATTTCATGTCTTTCCAAAAAAGGACACTTACAAACTCCAAAAGGACACCAAAAAACCAAATGATATATATACCATATAAGCACATGTGAAAGAAAAAAAAAATCAGAATTGTATAGTATATGTGTATAGTTTTTCTCACTGTCCAATGAGAGTGTGTGTTACATTTACAAGTGAGAGAGGGGTTGGCTCTTCAAATTGAGGCGAAAGTTGATTGGTTGCTCCCACGTGTGTACTGTCCAATGGCATTTTTTAACTAGATTTACAAATTGATAAAGAAAAGCATTTGGCAAAACAACAAAGAAAAGCAATTGGCAAATAAAGAGAGAAAAGCTTTTGCCAAATGCTTTTTTAAAAAAGCAATTTAAAATGTGCATTTAAATGATTTATTAATGTTCTTTTTATTGTTTTATTAATCTACATTTTAAATTTGTCTATTTATACATTAAAAATTTATTTTTTAAATTTGTTGTTTTATTGTTTTATTAATCTATATTTAAAAACACGAATTAAATAAACAACTTTAAATATATGTATTTGTCCATTTAAAAAGTGATTTATTTATATACATTTTTATGTTTGAATTATTAAATTGATCAAATTGATTCTTCATTTTATTTTTAAGTGGCACTCTTGATCCTCCATACGAGTGAGCCGAGAAGAGAGCTTATCTGATAGCCAAATGATCTTAATGACATATGCTTCCTTTAAGCTTCCTCGAGGGAGAGTGCTTTAAGAACAGAAAATACAAAGCACTGTAAGAAACTTTGCTTAGCACACCGTTACCTTTGTGTCTCTGGAACATCTGTGTCGGCGCGTGTTCTTATTGTCATTAGACTGAGGAGCCAACTTTCTCCAGAGCATGTGGATATAATTTTTTTCTCAACATTAACATGTGAAGCAATATAAACATGATAAACTTAGGCCGACTCAAGTGTATGTATGTTCTGTACTGTAATTGGCACTGTCTGCTTTATTTTTTCAGTTTGCTCTGCTTGAGCTTGAATGCTTTTGTTCTTTATATATTATACACATATATATATATATATATATATATATATATTTATTTTTATTTTTATTTTTATTTTTGCACACGTTTTCAACTTAAAGAAAACCTTGAGATATTACATAATGTTGTTGTAGACATGGTTGTGTATAAGGCCTAATCATAAGCTTGTTCAGAAACCTTGACAAAAACTTGATTATTAAAAAATAGCGTCGTTCTCGTTAAACGTCATTCAAATTAATAAATATTAGAATATTCATTTTTTATGAGCCGAAATACTCGAATACAATATTTTTGAAAAATGCCCATCCTTAATATAAACAGACCTGCAACCCACTAGTTGTCAATCACTGATTTGGCTGGAGATATTTCCTCTTTCGCTGGACTATTTTAGTTATGTGTGAAGTGGAATCAGTTGTGCTCAGATTTAAATACTTTTTTATTGCCACGAGAGTTGCACAGGCAGGAAGGGTGTGTTGGAGTATTTCCTGTCACCTTTGGTTTTACACCGTAAACAAGAAAGGCTGCGGTTTAGCTGAATCTATGCATATTTATAGACTTGAGCGCTAAGCAAACGCTCAAGCGGCGGCAAAGATGGCCTGATTTAGAAGCATTTCCAGGCATCTGCTCATATTAATAGGACTAGTACAACGTCTGGGCATTTGATAGTTTTCGCTCATGTCTCTCTTCTTTTCTGTCGTGGTTTTGATGGTATGTAAGGGTAAATTGGACAGGATGTGGGCTGGCTCTCATCTCTTTGTGGCTGCTTTGTGTGTGAAAGTGCCATCATGTCGAATCATATTTGTGTAATATAATGTGACTGTAATTGTATACTCACTCATTCGTCTTCACCCATAGCAGCCTCAGCAAAAGGCCAAGCACACTGATTTCATAAGACCCCCCTGTGTTTGTGCCATTGAGCTAAATGTTAGGCATTCCTGGTATTTCAAGACTGCCAGACTCTGAACAGTTGTGTGTGTGTGTTTGTGTTGGACACACGTAGTGTGTTTTGTGCGGAGTGGTCTGACACCATCTGTTTGTACATGCTCGAATGATCTTAACCAGTTTTACAGCTTTTAACAATTATGATTTAGGCAGGAAGTGCACACGCATCACAATAGCCTTTTCAGCTGTATTCCCTTCTCCCCTCTCTCTTTTACAATAAAGCACTGTCGAGCAGAGAGAGAGAGGCAGAAAGCAGAGCCAGCTCACTGGAACCATTTTTGACAGAAAGAAGCCTGTTGTTTCAACAGAGCGGGAGGCTGGTGACTCTGTAGCGCTCGCCTCCCCCTCTCACCCCTCCTCCACTCACCCCTCGCTCTCCGGCCCCTCCCGTCATCTGCCCTGTTGCCTAGCAACGGCGGACCGGAGCAATCGTAGCAGAGGCAGAGCAATTCCGGGATCAGATTGGTGGATGATTTATTAGTTGCGCTCAGAATACAGTGAGCCCAGGCAGCTGAAATGGAGCCTTAAAGTGGAGCCGACACGCAGCGAACGAGACAGCCGCGCACATAGCCGCCTGCCTGTAGTGCACTGTAAATATTACAGTAGTGGAAATATAATTAAGGTGACATAATCAGGCCACTCTAACACGCGCCACTCTGGCAGGTGTAATTGATTTTTGTCCTGCCTGGTCAGGATCCAGGACCTCGGATAATGAAGGCGTGCAAGGAATCCCTTTAACACTTAATGTGTTAAACAAAATCTGCATGTACACACCTTAGACCTGTGGTCACCAGGCTGGGGATTCATTAACACATGAGGCTGTTAGATACTTGTCAGTGTGAGATTAAAGTTGTTCTGGTTAAGTGGCTGTTATTGGCCCGTGGTCACAGTGCCAAATGCTGGTCCGGGTAATCATACATAGTCTCTAATCTTCAAAACTTTTTCAGCACTTATTGTCCCCCCCCCCATTCCTTTTTATTTTGCTTGCTTCGATGTTACACCCATAAAAACATTGAGTGAGTGAAATAATTTAGGTACTTGGAGAGTCTGACATGTTGTAACTCATAACTAGTACTTTAGTCATAGGTGCATTTAAAGATTATCATACGCTCGTTTTGCACATTGCACCACCTACTGGTTAATCATCCGCCTCTTTACCACAGCAGATGAAATGTGCTGTCTGTGGTGGGTTTTTTCTAACACCTATGGTTAAGTATCTCAACCCATTACGGAGGCCCTGGTGAGGGTAGATGTAGATTTAAAAGCTTGTAGTGTTAATTTGCAGAATTAGGATTTTCATTATACTCAAACACCTAATTTATTGCAAGTTTATTTTTCAAATCTTTTTAAGAGAAACAAGTAATATTCGCTCCCTTCCTCACTGAAGATTGTTCTTCAAAACGCCATGTGTAAACAGTTCCCGGTTACATAACCAGTATGCATTTGAGAAGTTGGCCAAGAGCTCCGGAGGAACTCCACGACTGGTTTTGCAGTCGACTTGTATTTTTTAACCACGTTTAATACCTCTACAAAGATTGCCCTGGCTTTTTCTCGCTGGTTTGTGCTCCCTGAAACTGCACAGTTCCCTTGTAAAAACCACCATGAGGGGGTTGGAGTCTGTGTAATGAGAAGAGCAGACGTAGAGTTGATGTACACGCACACTCTTAAAGAGAGCTCTCAGAACATGCATGTGTGACACAACCGCTGCGATCCTCCATGCATCGCACAGCTCCGCTACAGGTTTTCCGGCCAGCCGCAGAACAGAGGCTCTCTAGCAGAAAGATCACATGTAAAGCCTTCCCCTTTGTAGTGGAGGAGCAGAGAGTGACAAGCTATCTCTTGCTCGTAAAAAAACGACGTACCTTCGGAGACTTTGTGGATTCGCACCTCAGTTTTGTTACTGCCTACAAGTGGACGTAGAAATTTGGGTCGTGTGCCGATTGGACTTTTCATGGGCTTTCCGAACAGTTTTGTTTCTTGAGGACCGTTGACTGCGATTACTGTGGAGCGGGGCTCGCCGCTGGAACAAGAAAGTAAATCTGCTGGTTGTCTGCTTCGCTGGTTATGAATGTTTCTGCCTCCGCTTTTTATGGCTCACAGTCTGTGGCTCTTAAAGGAATAGAAAAGCATTCAAGCTACACAGTCTCCTTTTGTATTACAGCAGTCTGTGTAAAAACATTATTATTATTTTTTTTGGAGTTTAGTTTGTGTTGTAAAAGTTATTTTATTATGGTTTTATTAAGTGATTGTTTTATTTATTAACTGTTCTTGCTTCTTGTTTTAGAGCTTAAGTCGTTTTTCACATTCATAAACCTGATTATTTAAACACTGTTAGCTTAAGTTCTGTTTGTTTACAGTAACTGTAAGCAAATGGGTTTGTAATTCTAGTACTTTACGCAGGAATCAGGCAGCTGTTTGAAGTGTTGAGCGTGAAAATTGTAAGATTAAGGAGAAGTGTGTTGTGATTCGTCGTAATTTATTGAAGTTCTGTTTCGGCTTTGAACTTTAGTGTTGTGTGACCTCATATGCATATCGCCTTGATGAACTTTCACTAAGATTTCAGGCGAGCTGCCATCGTGTTTCTACTGTGGTTTAATCTCGGCTTCTATTCCTGCTTTTGTTGTCATTTTTCCTCATTTTTTCACTGTAGCTGAGCTGTGCTAGCACAAGCAGAGATTTTCAGATTAAGATCACAACATTGTTTTCTTCGCGTTGCGTTTCACAATGTAATGTATGTGTAGTGCTTCATGTCTGTTGTTAAGGGTGCTTAAAAATCTAATTTTAACTGTTTTTCTCTTTTCTTTTCCCAACAGAAACGGTTCATAAAAGGTTTAAGGCAGTACGGGAAAAACTTTTTTAGGATTCGGAAAGAATTGCTCCCTAACAAGGAGACGGTAAGTCATTTGTTTCCTATTGAATACATTTGTCATCGTTCTTGGACACTAAAACAAACTCCTTTTCACTGTGGTTTCTCAATTGTTTTGAAATTGAAGCTACATCTTAGTGGTTTCGAAAATGGAGAGGTTAAGGAAATGATTGAAAGCCATAGCTTACGGATGGACTTGAGTGCATGAATATTAGATTTAACAGTAAGCATGTTAGGTGCTTGAACAGGGGCCCTGAGACATGTTTAGTCAAAACAGAATCATGACTGTTTATTTAATATTTGGTTACAGCTCAGTACAGCTACACACCTGGGGTGTATTCCAGAAAGCACGGTTAACTTACCGTCAGCTAAACCCTGAACTTTCGGTTGATTATCCCCAAACCTTGCTTACTCGAGGTGTGGTTCCAAAAAACGCGTCCGGGAGTAAGTTCATTCAACTCCGAGTATGTTCCTGGTTAAGACTCGAGACATTCTCAACAGAGCGACAAATCGACGAGTCACTATGGAAACGGATGCTAAGAAAAAGCACGCCATGCTGTTTCTTTCTTCTTCTTTTGTTCAATGGTCGTTTACATGCTTAGTGCATATCGCCACCTAATTGATGGTTGTGCAATCTTTTTTTTTTTTTTTTTCATTTAATCTTTAATCCTTGAGAATATGAATTATATTGTTTGTTTGATGCTAATTATATATTAAGTCATATCAGATATGTATTTTGATTTAGAATTCAGACATAGAAAATGCCGATCCATGTGTCAGATGAAAATATAAAATGTAATAAATAAATATCTATAATATAATAAATTAAACATTACCTTGTCATCGTGTTTTATAATTTATATAGATAACTGTTATATATGCCAATAAAATGAATATAATAACCATATTAGAATAATATATTACCTTATTTATTACTTATATTAGCGCTTCATCATTAACAATTACATATTGTAATATTATATGTTGTGCGCTATCTGTCACATCCACTGAAGGCTCTTCAGTAGATCACACGTGCGCTGATAGCGCTAAAGTGAACTAACCCTGGAACATAACCTGCTCCGGAGCAGGTTATCTTCAGAGAGCAAATTACTATGGTTACTTACATACCCTGAAAGTAACCTCCGATTTTAGAACCGAAAGCCGAGGTTATCCGCTCGCTTATCCTCAAACATACCCGAGTATGTCACATAACCTGCTTTTTGGAATTACCCCGCTGATGGCTCAAAGAACTAAACTTATCTTAAGCTTAAAGTACTATTTGTTAAACTTTTGTTTTAGTGCACAATGCAAGTAATAGAAATTTTAGCAAAGTGTAATTTTGTTACTTTTTTTAAATTAAATTAGACTGCACCTTTTAAATTCCTTGGTTATGTTAAAATGTTAAATGCATATTACTTTGCATTTCATGGTGTCAATAGAAGTTTGTGCGGTTTTGTTTTGTACATGAAAATATTAGGATGATATTAGAAACTTATCTTTTAAACTTTTATTAAACTATTAAAGCATTTTACAGTAAATACATTATTTAATATGTTATTATACTATACATTATATACAATAACATATAATAAAAATATTTTAAATATATTATTTAATTAATTTCTAGATACCATATATGTATATATCTGTATGTGTATATGTATACATGTGTATATATACATACACTTCTGATTGTTTTTTTTGTTGTGTGTTGTTTACAGTTATGTAAGTTGATTTTTTTTTTAAACATTCTTTTAGCACGCCTAAGTACAGTATTCTTTGCATACCAGTGTTTTTATCCATGTTTTATCAGGTCAGCTGTTAGCTTTACTGGCCTCAGTGTCATGTCAGATAGACTGAAACACAAGCTCTGACTAACAGGTCGGTTATCATGTGCATTTTTTATGGAGTATTGTCTTAGCTCAATGATTAGTCAGTGAAGAAAATCCCTCCTAGCAGAGGGAAGCTTCGTACAGACCTGTCACCCTTGAAGTAGTACAGTCATTGATAGTTTTGTTTTGACTCTTCATGCTGAACAGCACGTATTCCTTTGGCCATGAATTCATATTTGAAATGACCCTTTTCAATTATTAGTGAACTGTGTGACCCTGTAGAGGAAACAACAAAGTGAAATACAGAGCAAATAATTATTAACTCTGTGTGAGTACACACCCAGATACCTGTTTGGCGAGTAGAGAGATTATTGATATGAGAAATGTGTTACTCGTTGGTTTTTGTTGACCTGCAACAAGGTAAGAAGATATGTTCATGTCATCTTTTTAGAATTGAGAGAGTAAGCGAAAGTTTTGCTTATTTCTTAATTTTCTGCATTTTCTTTTATCACTGGCAGTGTTATGTACAAATAATGGTTTTGCAATTGTCTGCATCATGGAAATAATGATTTTTATTTTCTAATTTAAATTTTTTTTAAACATAAATTTGTTACCGCTAGCAGAACATTTGGAAATGTTATTTTATACTGATTTAATAGCAATCCCAATTCATATGGAGACATTTGTTCTGTTTACGTCAGTTTGTACATGCATACGTAATCAAGCCACCCTCTAGAAACCAGGACAAGAAGAGAGAATGATGGAAAAAGGAGAGATGGAGGCACAACAGTCTTGCTCAAGGGCAGGGTTGAGGGGTTAGTTCAATATTCACTAAGAAAAGCGAGCGTTCTCTAAAAAGCCCCACTTTGCTTGAGATTGCAGTCGCTTTTGTGCTGAAAGCCAGCTCTCTGTGCAAGTGCCAGTCAATACCCTGCGGAAAGCTTGATTTATTTTCTCTACAGTCCTTTTCCCACTCTCCTGTTTCATTTGCCATACCTCTCTTTCTTGTTTGTGACTTAGAGCATATTCTGAAACTCCTTCCTTAATTCATCCAACACAAAAACCTTTCCTGCTCCTCATATACCAGTCTTTCTGGTGAAGACTCTTTCCTTTGCATTTCTTCCAGGTAATCTGGTCCAGGATTTGATATGACCGTAGCGTTTTTAAATGCCCAGTACCATGGAGGGTGATACAGTGCAGCTTTTCTGCCTCTCCCCATTTTCCCCCTCAGCACTTATTAGCTGGGTTTCTCATAAAGAGCTGGTGCCAAGGCTAAGCACCCACTGCTGTGCAAACACACCAGGCCTGACTAGCTCTCTGGAATGCTTTATATGAAGTCAAATAAAAGAGGAAGCTGGGGAAGTGGGTGTGTCGTCTTGCAGGCTCTGCTCTTTTCGCTGCCACCATTTCCTACACTTGAAAGACAACGTCATGGAATAATTTGTGTACTGGTGCAAGAAATGTTCCCAAACAAACCCGGCATGATGTGTCTACAGATCGCAGATAACACAGCTTTGCAGCTCTGTCCATGTGCTGTCCCAGAAATACTCTCTCTACTCTTTAGATGCTTTTCTTTAGTGATTTAGACCCATTCGTTTTGATTATTGCATACTAATGAAACTGGTAAGCAAAGTATAATCAGATTTAAACTGCACATGATCTAAATAGAAAATAACTATTGCAGATTGAGTTTTTTTTTTTTTTTCAGTGCATATAAATGGTCTTTTTTTAATTGATTTTTTAGCAGCTTATTTTTGTGATTTTTTTTTTTTTATTTAAATAATTTTATTTATTTATTTATTTGGTGAGATTTCCAGATGCTTCTTTTTTTTTAAGGGCACAGAGATTTGTCCCTGGTAAATCTGAATGTGATTTTGGTATGATTACAGTGCAGTCTGTGTTCTTTAACCTCCTGGAAATCTGCCCCTGGCTTTTAATGCCAGGTAGACCCTTCATTCAAGTTTAATTCAATTCAATTCAAGTTTATTTGTACAGCGCTTTTCACGATACAAATCATTGCAAAGCAACTTTACAGCAAATTAAGTTTCTACAATATTTAGTGGTAGCTTATCAGTGGTGACTGTCAGTTAATGTACATATGGCAGAAATGTACGGAAAAATCAATTAAAGACGTAATCAAACAGACGATGAACACTATTAACAGCAAATATTATATGATGCAATCAAATTTATAGCAAAATGTGGTAGTTCTGTAAGTTGTTTCAGGGTTGGCATTATCTTGAGGTCCTCTGAGGGGTTGGCATCATCTCTTCTCAGGTGTTCTGTTATCTCAGATCTTCGTAAGGGTTGGATCCAGACTCTGCATCATTTGTATTATCAACATGAATGTTAAAATCTCCGACAGTTAGCGCTTTATCAACAGTAACCAGTAGGTCTGAGAGGAAATCTGCAAATTCTTAAGGAGTTCAGCTCCGACTCTGCTGGGTTGCAGGCCATCAGCGCGAAAAAGCCTAGGACACTCCCAGAAAAGATTCCAATTATTAACAAAGAGCAGTTTCTGTTCTTTAATATATTCACACGTTATAGAAACGAAAATTTATAAATAAAATTGATTTTAAGATAAAAAATAGACGATAAAGAATTAACTTGACGGAGCTCAAACTCAAAACACACGGCAGCAACAAACAGGACGTTCGTCATTCAGGAGGTTGCAGACTAACTGGTAACACTCCAAAGCTGAAGTTGCACCTGCAGGAAGAAAGAATATTAGGTTGTAAAATAGAGACAAGTGTGTGACGTGGTGTATAGGGGACATTTTCTGTCACGTTGGAAAAACAGCCATATAGTAAAGCAGCTGTGGCGTAATCCAGCTACAGGATCCAATTGTGTAAGGAGGCAGCCCTGGCCCTCTGGTCATGTAATTTTCAAGCGAAGATGGCCGACATGATAGAACTGTTCTCGGCACAACCTTGTAGCAGATGTTTGCCCTGGTGCGATCTGTATAAATGTCAAATTGAATTCATTGCAAAGACGTTAGCCCCGCAGCCAGTGCCCTAGAGAGTCGCTTGTGTGATTGGAGGTATTCGGGCTTGGGCACTAATTAAAATGGCTAAAACTGGCGGCCTGCTCGATCGCCAGCAGCTGTCCAGGCTTGATAAAATAGTCTGCTTGTTTTGGTAAATGTTGTTTATGGAAATGTTGTTTATCTCTGTGTTCTTGGCCGTTTTTATAGTTTAGACTCTCTTGATAGGCCATCCAAATAAATTGTAATTCTTTCTGTATAGTGTGTATGAAAAGTGGGCATGGATAGCCTGTGTATTGTTTGCTCTCTGGCTTTCTGAACAAAGCTGTGGCTGTACAACTTGATCTTTCGGATTAAAGAGATCGACCCCCATCAAAAAGTCTTGCTGTGGCATATTTTTGCCTCCATTGGCTAAAAGCGCTTACAGCAGGGAAACACAACTGCTGATTCCTCTGCTTGTGCCTCGTTGGCCTGTTATCGCACACGGCTTATTTTTTCTTTTCCAACAGAAAACCAGCAGTGCAGCAGGGATCCGTTGTCTATTTAACATCCTTTTACACCCCAGCCAAGGCCATTGTAGCACACTTTTTTTTTTCTCTCTCACATTTGCCTTATTTAACCACAAGGTTGGGCAATAGTGTTTGAATGGTAGCCTGTTTTTGCAGTGTGCTACATTGCTTTGTTGACTTTGGAGCAAGGTTACAGTAATATACGTCTCCTCTCAATGTGATTTTTCAGGGCTCTTCTCAGACGGTATAACAGCGGCATTTATTTGGACTGTCAAAATGGACTGTCTAGAGTGGGAGCAAAAATTGGTGGCAAGGCATTTAAAAAATGCAGCGCTATCAATGAAATCTTAGTAGGAACTGTAAAAAATAATCTGTAGTAATTTTAGATTTTATATATGCATTTTATATATATATATATATATATAGTGATAGTTTTGTGCCGTTAATTTTGCTGTGAAAATTGTCAATTTATTAGTTAAAATGTATTATTTTTTAAATGTATTAATATTACATATTTTATATATATATATATACATTATAAAAGGTGTATTTGTTTTTTCTTCCGTGTAAATATTTAGGATGTGAACATGAGGGTGAAATCTATGAGAACGGGAAACAGTTTGTGTCGAGATCAAACCCTTGCCTCAAGTGCAGCTGCTCTGTGAGTCTACTGTGTGTGTGTGTGTGTGTTCTCCTTGTGGGGATGAAATTGAAATTAAAATTGAAACAAAAAAGAACTGCACCACAAAACCTTTAAAAACCACCCAAGAAAAAGATGATAAAAGGGCTAAGTAATCTCATATTACTGTTCACATATTTCAGAGTATTAGAATACGTCTATATGAAATATAGTAAGTATATATTTAAAGATGCTGCCAGTATAAACCAA